CAAACCCAAGAGTGAGAGCAAACAATCCAATTAGAAAATGGGCAAAGAACATGAACGGACATTGCACTGAAAAGGATATACAGATGGCAAGTAAGCACATAAAAATATTTTCAACATCATTAGCCATCAGGAAATGCAAATTCAAATCATAATGAGCTATCACTACACAACTATTGGGATGACTAAGATAAAACACGGTGATAACACCAAATGCTGGCGGAGATGTGGAGAAACTAGATCACTCATAGATTGGGATGTAAAATGATACAGCCACTCAGAAAAAAAAAAATTGTGATGGCCTCTTACAAAATGAAATATGCTTACTGTACTACTCAGCAATTGTATTTGGGGGGTATTTACCCCAGACAAGTAAAAACTTCTGTTCACTCAAAAACCTGTACATGAATGCTCCTGGCAACTGTATTTGCAATAGCCAAGAACCAGAAACAATCCAAATGTCCTTCCCCAGGGGAACCATTCAGTACACCGTGGTGCGTCCACACCATGGAACACCACTCACCAAAGCAAGGGGTATACTCTGGATACACACAACACCTGGGATGGATCTCAAGGGAATTATGCTGAGTGAATAAGCCCATCTCAAGAGGTTACATAATGTATTATTCCATTTATAGAATATTCTTGATGACAAAATTATAGAGAGGGAGAACAGGGGTCCAGGAGGGGAGAGGGAGGGAGGTGGCTGTGGGTACAAGAGGGTAGTAGGAGAGATCACTGTGATGGAATTGTTGTACATCTTGACTGCGGTGGTGGACACACAAATCTACACATGCGATAAAGTGGCGTAAATTAAACACACACACACACAACCGGTGGGATCTGGATAAGGGAGTTGGATTGTATCACCGCCAGGCTCCTGGTCGTACTGAAGTTACGCACGATGTTTGCCATCAGGGGAAACTGGGTGAAGAGTACACAGCCTCTCTCTGCAGTCTTTCTTACAACCCCATGTGAACCTACCGTGATCGCAAAGTGAAAAGTTAAAAAAAAAAAAAAAAAGTATTGAGGACTGCAAAGAGATTTTGTTCCTGTGGGCCATATTAATTGGAATCTGCTATATTAGAGATTAAAATGGAGATTTTTTTAGGTATTTATTACCTTTAAAACAATAATAAGCCCATCTTATGTTAATATAGACAAATCGTTTTTTTATGAAATATATTTTTGAAAAATAGTGAGAAGAGTGACACTGTTTTACAAATTTACACAATTCTCTTTATGTCTGGCTTCACAGACAACTGATTCTCCTGTCTGCTTCTGCATTAGAATATGTTGTGATAAAAGACATCATACAGTTTCTGGAAAATTCCACCATACACATAAGAAAAATTAAGAGTGAAAGGGGCAAATAATGTCTTAGTGTTATTATGAAAATAGTTTTGGCCTCATGGATCCCCTCAAAGGGTCTCAGGGCCCCCCTTTGGAAATTCTTGCATTACTGTGATCATTTTTACATACATTTGCGCCTGCACTTAGTGAGGACAGGGAGAACATCTTTTTCATCTTTGTATTCCAAGCACCTTATACAGTGCCTGGCAAAAAGCTGATACCCAATAAATATTTGATGAACCAATGGAATATTAACAACTTGTTAGCCCTTGGAGAGGGCGAGAGAGAGCACCAATCTGATTGACAATATGGGCTTTAGACTTTTTTAGTTCTGAGTCAGAATAAAGGTCAGAGTGTTCTGGCATAGCTTGGTCCCAAAGAACAAACATTGTTCTGAGAAACCAGGAGGCTCCTGGGGCATGAAACATGGGTTTGCAATGACTGAGTGGTCTTTTGAGAAAGGTCTCACTGTGTCAACATTTCTCACAAGTTTTGACCTTGAGGCCTCTCCACACCATTCAGAACAAACATGGGAAGATGGGGGCTTCATGGGTTGTGTGGAGACATAATGAATTCTTTCTCCTGCGTTATTATCCTCCTACACCTAACCCCCAGGTCATCCCCAAAGCACCCACTGGTGGCCAGTCTCAGTCCACTTGGTCCACAGCCATTCTGGGAAGAGAAAAACAGTTCTAACCACCATTCCAGATTACAAATTGGTTCTCATTTCTCATCCAAAGAATTCACCAAAGCACAATTGAGCAGGGAGCACAGAAAAACAGCCGAAGCTGACTTAGAGTTACCACTGAAAGATGTTCGTTAGAATCCACTCTGCATCAGACACTGAGCCAGACCTGTGGAATATTCCACCATGACAAAGCTCATGCCCCTCCCGCTCCCCGGTCCCCCGGCCAAGGAACTCCCGCTCCAGTGGAGAGATGACTTGAGTCTACGCTAGGCAGCAACCAGGGCTCTGAGGTGGAGAGAGAAACCATCTCTCCTAAGATCAGGGAAAAGAGGGGCACCTGGGTGGCTCAGTCGTTAGGCATCTGCCTTCGGCTCAGGTCATGATCTCAGTGTCCTGGAATCGAGCCCCACATCGGGCTCCCTGCTCCACGGGAAGCCTGCTTCTCCCTCTCCCTCTCCCCCTGCTTCTGTTCCCTCTCTCGCTGTGTCTCTCTCTGTCAAATAAATAAATAAATAAATAAATAAATAAATAAATAAATAACCTTAAAAAAAAAAAAAAGATCAGGGAAAGGAAGTGCGTTTGATTTTGTCCTTGAAAGGCAGGAGAGGGCTGTTGCCAGGCAGATGGTGGGTCAGCACGCTAGCACATTGGGGAAGAGAGTTGTGTTCACACAGACCTCAAGTAATGGCGCCTAATAAAATGGAAGCTTCTTCATGTATCACAGTCCAGGCTTAAGTGGTCTAGAGCCCCTACGGTGTCAGGGACCCAGGCCCCTTCCCTCCTGATGCTCCACCATACCTGAGGCGCAGCCCTCATCTGTTTGCATGGTTCCAAACCATCATGTCTGTATTCCAGCCGGTGGACATGGGCAAGCGGAAGGGCAGACATGTTCTTTCCTTCTGGGGGCACAAGTAGGAAATTGCACACTCCACTTCTGCTCACATCCCCTGGGTCAGAACACAGTTGCAAGGGAGGCTGGGAAATGGGATTTCAAAATGTGAGCTTCTGTTGCTCTAAAGAAATTGGGGGACAGCTAAGGGTTTCTGGCCCCAAGCACAGAGGTGAGAAAGTGCAGGGAGGTTTGAGGAGCCAGTAGCTAGGTGTGTTTAGAAGTTGCAGGAAGGAAAAGGAAAGGGGAGTGAGGGGCATATGATGAAGAGGGGCCCCTTCATTCTGTAAGTCAGTGGTGCCCAAACTGGAGTGCCCATCAGCATCCCTGGATGGCTCTGTTGAAGCCCGAATGCTGAGCCCCACCTCCAAGGAGTCTGATTCAGCAAGTCAACAGTGGGGCCCGAAAATGCACATTGCTAATCAGTCCCAAGTGCCACTGGTGCTGCTGATCCAGGAACTTTGAGAAAGGTGGGGTCACAGAAAGTTTTAAAGAGGAGAATGAGGGCGCCTGGGTGGCTCAGTTGGTTAAGCGACTGCCTTTGGCTCAGGTCGTGATCCTGGAGTCCCTGGATCAAGTCCCGCATCGGGCTCCCTGCTCAGCGGGGAGTCTGCTTCTCCCTCTGACCCTCCTCCCTCTCATGCTCTCTGTCTCTCATTCTCTCTCTCACAAATAAATAAAATCTTAAAAAAAAAAAAAAAAAGAGGAGAATGAGATGACAAGGTCTGTATTTCAGAAAACTTATTCTGTTCAGCAATAGGGAACGAGCTGTACCGAAGCCTCCCGCAGCACTAAAGCTTCTCACCCTCTTGATCCTTAGTGTTCCTGAGAAATCTCACTCAAGAAAAACAGGGATGATAAAAAGCCTGCAAAGCAGAGTTCACAGAACTCCAGTGCTCAGGGGTCGCTCCCTACTTCCTGGAGGGCCTGATGGTGTCAGTACCAACCTGGACCCACCAGTTCTTTGCATTGTGTGCAGACGCCTGGATACGGGTGAGGGCAGGCAAGTCCCTTTCCTCCCTGGACCTGGGTTTCTCCAGCAATAAGAATCATGAGGATCATTTACCTATCCGGGTGCCAAGGACTGTCAGATGGCACAGATGAAAAAGCTGGACAATGTCCTGAGGCTGTGGGGACTCACCGACCCACTACGCCGGGGGTTGGAGAGTAAATTGGACTCCCCACGAAGGGCAATTTGACAATCAAATCAGAATTTAAGATGTCTATGCCCTTTGACCCAACAGCTTCATTTCCAGGAAATAAGCCTATAGATACATTCGTGTTTATGTGCAAAAGACAGGTCGTTCAGTGCCCATTGTTCGTACTGGCAAGAGGTAGGAAACAACCTAAAAGTCACCCACAGGGGGCTGGTTAAATAAACCATGGTGCTTCCACAAACAGAATAATGGGCAGTCCTTAAAAATAAGCTAGATCGGGGCGCCTGGGTGGCTCAGTTGGTTAAGCGACTGCCTTCGGCTCAGGTCATGATCCTGGAGTCCCTGGATCGAGTCCCGCATCGGGCTCCCTGCTCGGCAGGGAGTCTGCTTTGCCCTCTGACCCTATCCCCTCTCATGTGTTCTCTCTCATTCTCTCTCTCTCAAATAAATAAATAAAATCTTAAAAAAAAAATAAGTTAGATCTAGGGGTGCCTGTTTGGCTCAGTTGGTTAAGCGTCTGCCTTCGGCTCAGGTCATGATCCCAGGGTCCAGGGATTGAGCCCCACATCGGGTTTCCTGCTCAGCGGGGAGTTTGCTTCTCCCTCTCCTTCTGCCCCTCTCCCTGCTCATTCTCTCTCCCTCAAATAAATAAATAAAATCTTAAAAAAATAAAAATAAAAATAAGCTAGATCTATGAGCCAGTTTATCTATCATAGATAGATAAGGATGAGAATGATGATGATGATGATGATGATGGATAGAGATAGATATATGTATGTCAGTGAATCTCCCTTTCTCATATACATATATATGATATGTGTATGTATCTCATATGAGATATATATATGATACATATATGGCTGGGGCTAAATACTGTCATGATATGCTGCCATTTAAAAAAATATACATGTGTCAAGAAGATCACACACACACACACACACACACGCACGTGTACCGTTTATATATGCTTACATATCTCTGGAAGGATTTGGAGAAACAGGTTGCCTTTTGGGAGAGGAATTGGAATGGAAGTCCAGGTTGACAAGGAAACTTTCGTAACATTTGTTTGTTTGTTTTCAACTCTCAGTATGTATCATTTATTTAAAAAAACATACAAGCAATGCCTTGTGCTTTACTTGCTTCATCTCACTATATCTTCAGAGTAATCTAGAGGCGAAGTACTCTTATGATTCCCAAGGCACGGGGAGATTCACTCATTTGGGGGAGGGATGTGTGGGTGGAAGGAGCCTTGATGTATAAGGTTTGCCAATTCCCATGGAGTAAATTCTCCCACCGTGGCTAATTTCAAGCTGCCAATGTGATGTCACTGAGCAGAGCTGGGAAGAGATGCACACGATCAGCTCTCACAGGTCCGCAGGAACCAGCTCCAGCACACACCTGTAATGAACCCTTGCACTCGGAAGGGAGGCACCACTGACTTCCCACTTCAAACCTGAAACGGTCGCCTTTCAAGAGCAAAACAAATATAAGTAAATATATCACTTCAGGACCTAAGAGCAGCTTCCGGGGGGTCTTCAGACATAGATGCCGGAGCATCTATTTAGAGTGTAAATAACCTGCCTTGTTCTGCAATGGATTTGAAACAGAAACCCAGAAATTAAAATTAAGCATCTGGGTTTTATATTTGCAAATTGCTCTGCCATTCTCTTTATGAAATACTGCACACAGCCATACAAGCAGAAGGCAATAAAAGAATAATAAATTAATCAGTGTTAGCATTCTGTCAACACAGCCCCACAGACTTACCAGAGCCAGCCATCTAAATTAGGAAGCTGGTTTAGAAACTTTTCCAGTGCTTTAATGGGAGAGGTGGGGGCGAGAGGGCCAGATACACTTGGATTTGAGTTGTGTTCTGGCTCTGCCATCTGCTAGGCACCTTGGGTAAGTCACCTTACCTTCTGCATCTCAATTTACACACACGTTAAGTGAGGATAGTGGCACCACACGGATTTGCACAGCCAGATTCACCACGTTTAATAGGTGAGGTTAACATGTGGTTAAGTATCTGGACATAAGGCAGGGTGTTTATCCCTAAAAAATTACCCCACGACATAAAGTGAGAGTTGCCTTATGTTTAAGTTCTTACAAAAGCTTACAGAATGTTATGTATTCCCTAGACTCTCAATTACTTGATTTTAAGCAACAAAGTATCTTTGAGGAAGACCAATTTATAGAAGTCACTGGATGGAAGTGGTTTAAAAAAAAAGCAAACAATCTTTGTCGTTATACTGGGGGTTGGCCTCACATCCCCTATAATGAAGCCAGCCTTCTAAAGATGACTTTAAAAGCAACAAATTAAATGCTAGGATGTTGTGATCGCAAATATAAACCGATGGGACAAACGGAAAAACAATAGTGTCCTAAGATTAAGTGAATCGGGACTTCGAGGTTAAAATCTTTCAGCAAGAGAATCAATACAGGCTCAAAAAGTGCTGCATCACACACAATCTCAATAGGAGTGAAATTTATGTGATCTAGAAAGTGAGTTGGGTGACTCAGAAACCATCCCTGGTAATAATAACGATCCTACAATCAAAGACGCACAGGAAGAGATGGAATAAAACTGTTTTGTAAAATGCGAGAGTGGAAAAAAACCAGTATTTCTCAATTAAGATATTATTTATTAATATATTAGATATTTAAACTTATCTAAATATATTAATCTTGAAAGTATGTGCATACCTAAAGTAATAAATTAAATATTACACATAGACATTTGATTATTTCATCTACAGCCTTAAGAATTGATATATTCGAGTTCGTCCCCCCAAATATTTTCCTTTTTGCAATCTTCTTATTGTGAAAAATGGGAGGGTCACCTTATATTTAGGACTACCAAATACGGAGAGAAGTATGTGCAAGCACTTAAAACCCAACACGGCTCCGTGTGATTTGCGACAGATACTGTTAGGGTTGTTAATACTATTTTTTATTATGATTGTTGCACCACAGGCTGGGCTCTTTGATTGTGCTCCTGAGAGCACTTACCTGGATTGGAATTCCCTGATCTTCTCCTTCCTAGCCGTGTGATCTTGGGCAAGTTGCCTAACCTCTCTGTGCCTCATCTGTAAGAAAGAAATAATAGTAGGACCTCTCAATAAATTAGTATATGTAAGAAGTGTTTGAACCAGTACCTGGTAAGTGCTTCTTTAATATTATTACCATTACATTCACCAATGGAGACCTGTATTTTTAAACGTGGTGGGTTTCCTCACAACGCAGTGAGATTTTATCAGCAGGGAACTTGTCTTGCTCTTCCAGATCCCCAGCTCACACAGAGGGCCAAGTGCCCAGTAAATGTTGGCTGGACCAATAATGAGTTCTGTAGAGAGAGGAAGGCAATGTGTCATGTTGGGGGCCCAGCACAGCAGCGGATAACACTTTGAGGTTGATACCTAGAGTGCAGCCTCATTCCTCACTGGCCAACTAAAATCAAAAGTAAAACTGCAGTGCAACAGAGCTGGGCAAAACTGTAGAATGGAATTGGTACAACCACTATGGAAAACAGTACAAAGTTTCCTCAATAAATTAAATATAGACCTACCATAGGATCCAGCAATTCCGCTTCTGTGTGTTTATCCAAAGGAAACTAAAACGTTAACTCGAAAAGGTATGTGCACCCCCATTTATGGCAGCGTTATTTACAATAGCCAAGATATAGAAACAACCTGAGTGTCATGTCCGTCAATGGACAAATGGATAAAGAAAATGTGATATACATATATAGGAATACATGTATTATATAGAGGAATATATATATTATAGATGATAGATAGATAGATAGATAGATAGATAGATAGATAGATAGATAGATAGATAGGAATATTACTCAGCCATAAAAGGAGTGAGATCTTGCTATTTGTGACAACATGGATGGAATTTGAAGGCATTATGCTAGTGAAATAAGCCAGAAAGAGAAAGACAAATACTGTAATGACCTCACTTATATGTGGGAACCTAAAAAAGAAAAAACAAAACCCCCCAACAACCCAAGCTCACAGATACAGAAAGCAAATTAGTGGTTGCCAGAATTGGGCAGATAGGTGACGTGAGTGAAGGGGGTCAAAGGTTCACATTTTCCGTTATAAAATAAGTAAGTCAAGGGGAGGTCATGTACAGCATGGTGACTATAGTTAATAATACTGTATTACATATCTGAAAGTTGGTAAGAGTAAATCTTGAAAGTTCTCATCCCAAGAAAAATAATGTAGTAACTATGTATGATGATCGATGTTAACCAGACTTGTTGTGGTGATCATTTCATTATACATACAAATAGTGAATCCTTACGTTGTACACCTAAAGCTAATATTATATGTCAATTATACCTCAATTAAAAAAAAAAAAGGCTATAATGGAGCCTGGGTGGCTCAGTCGTTGGGCGTCTGCCTTCGGCTCAGGTCATGATGCCAGGGTCCTGGGATCAGTCCCGCATCGGGCTCCTTGCTCAGCGGGGACCTGCTTCTCCCTTTGCCTGCCACTCCCCCTGTTTGTATGTTCTCTCTCTCTCGCTCTGAAAAATAAATAAATAAAATCTTTTAAAAAATTAATAACCAAAAGACATACATTAAAGTTCAAATTATACAAAAATGTTGAGAGTAGAAGAATCACCGGAAGGGAATTCTTGGCATCTAGAGTATTATTTATCTAAATGTTCCTTTATGGATGCATGAAACTAACATGTAAGTACACAGGCTGTATCATGTGATGGTTTAAGACCACGAATCAGGTGTGCCCGTGTTTAAAATCTAGCTCCGCCTTTTTAGTGGCATGGCCTTGAGAAAATCACATAACCTCTCCGTGCCTCAGTTTCTTTTTATTTTTTAATATTTATTTATTTATTTATTTATTTATTTATTTATTTGAGAGAGAGAGCTCAGCAGAGGGCGAGGGAGAAGCAGGCTCCCCGCTGAGCAGGGAGCCCCACGTGGGGCTTGACCCCAGGAAGCTGGGATCATGACCCCAACCAAGCAGAAGGCAGATGCTTAACCCTGACTGAGCCACCCAGGCGCCCCTGTGCCTCAGTTTCTATGGAGACTGGAGATTATGGACCCCACCCTCTAGGCTTATTGGAATAATAAGTCTAAAGAGAGCATTTAGGATAGCACAAATACAGAGAAACAACTCAGTGAAGATTAGCAGTTATGAACTTACAAATATATATTAAAACAAAATATGAAGTCGCACTATAGATCCTAGTTTACATTTGCTTTTTTTTTATGTAACAGTATGCTGTGACTAGTTCCGTGCTAGTACGTACAGAGCTAATTCCTTCTTTTTGATGGCTACATTATATTCAAATGCGTATGTAACTAATCCCCTGTCTCGGCTACCTGAGTATTTCTAATATTTTACTATTACAAATAACCACAATAAAAATCCTCATTGCACATATATTGCTCCATCCTTGGGGACGTATTTCTATAGGATAAGTTCTAGAAATGGAATCTCTGGATCCAAGTATATGAATTTTTAACTATATTAATAAACAATGAGTTATCAAATTTCCTTCCTAAAAGGCTGTATCCTTTACACTTTGATCAGCAAGTGTACTTTGTCACCTTGTGGCTGTATACATTTCAACCTGATTCCCCAACCATTTATTTTGAATGTCCCAGTCGTGAACAGAATCAGGGACTTTGCCCTGCTACTTCTGCATTATATTCCCTTATCTTTCCAAAAATCATAAACAACTCCTAAGAACCTGGCAACTAATTTTTCTGCAGCAAATGTTCAGGTACATAGCCTGGCAGAGAATTTTTATACTATTCCCAGATGGGAGAGGAAGAAAGGTTGGAATTCCTGAGCCTTTTCAGTGGCCAGTAGGAAGAACATACGAAATTAGAACAATCCATTAAGTTTGGGAAACGGTACCGGTTATCTGCTTCCATCTTTGTTTTCTGTGACTTGAACCCTCGTTAAAGAGACAAGAGGCCGCCTTTGCTGAGTCTGGCTGGGGACCAGAGTCTCTAGTGCAGAGTCCCCAGGGTGTGATTTGAGTACTTAACTACTTGCAGCTCTTCTGATGCCTTTAGGTAACATAGGACAACCCGTGGGCGTCAGAGCCAGAAGCTGAACAGCGCCACCAAGAGGACAGGCTGCTTCAGTGGTAGCTAAATCCCATGCCCACTTTCATTTTTAATTTAGATTTTAATCCCAGTAATAAATATACATAATGGTTAAGAGTTAGTTACTACTACAAACTAGATCCTATGACAAGGCTTATAAGAAGAATGCCACCTCCCTCAGTCATCAAGTGTCTGCCTTCGGCTCCGGTCATGATCCCAGGGTCCTGGGATTGAGCCCTGCATCAGTCTCCCTGCTCAGCGGGAAGCCTGCTTCTCCCTCTCCCACTCCCCCTGCTTGTGTTCCTGCTCTCGCTATCTCCCTCTGTCAAATAAATAAAACCTTAAAAACTAAATTAAAAAAAGAAGAATGCCACCTCCAAGTCTCATCCATGAAGCAGTAACTCATTCTGTGGTTGTCTCTTCAAACCTGATTATGGTGGCACTTCCAAGGTTTTTTAATTTTAGGCTTTTCTATTAACTTACAGCTATGGAGAATAAGAATTTAGTTTTCCTCTCTCTCTCCACTCTTTCTCTACACACACCCTCTCCAATTTTCCCCAAATAATTACAGCATAATTTTTGGTTAAATCAATGTGCTGTTTTTACATTATAATGACAACGTAATATTATTTCCAGCTAAGTGTTGTAGTTTATGATGATTACAATGTTTTTGTTATAAATCGTTTTTGTTTTCTTGGCTTTCATAATCACTGTGTGTCTTATTTGCTTAGTTTTCTCTGTAATAGCTCCAATCCATCTCCGAATTCTTTGCCAGAATGCCAATCCTTTATAATGGTCTCAGCTTTGTGCTCAGTCTAGGGGCAGCATAGTGTAATGTGGTTCTCAAAGCGTGGTCAGTCCCTAGACCAGCAACTGTAACAGCATCACCTGGGACCAAGCTAGAGATGCAAATGATCAAGCCCTACCCAAGACTTACTGATTAGCTGTCACTCTGGGGCTGGGGTCCAGCCATCTGGTTTTTTAACCAGCCCTCCTGGGGATGCCGGTGTGCACCCAAGCTTGAGAACACCTGTACAAGCGTTAAGAGCTTGGATGCCCAAACCCATGGCTGCCTGGGGTTTGGATCCCAGCTGTTGCACTCGTTTGGGATGGAACGGCTTTCAGGGCCCAATCTTCCCATTCACTAAATGAGAGACGGTTTGTCTCTCCCACATAGTTGTTGTGAGCTCCTTGGTGAGCTCCAGTTTTCCTGGGGGACACCCCTCCTGGAGCCCAGTGAAACCCATTACAGTATGGGAGGGGAGTGCAAGCTGGCTGCAGAGCCTCCCCAGGCCTTCCTGAGTCCCCTACTCAGAATATGCCCTCCTTTAAGGCACCTACCTCAAGCCTCTGTCTTTCAGCACCTCCACAGCCCTCCGAAGTGAAGTCCCCTCCTCTACCCCTGTAGGAGCCTCACCTCCCCCTGCTACAACCACCAATTCGCAGCATTCTCTGCCAGAGCCCCTTGCCACCCAGCCCCACCCTCCCTCCTCATCCCCCTCTCACTCTCTCCTAGCCCACTAGAGCCATCTCATGCCCCCCCCAGCTTCCATTCCTTCCACACTCCTCTACTCCACCCAACCTTCCCCCCCTGGGCCAGAGCTCCCCATTTTCCCATGGAACCACCCCCATGGCTGCCCCTGGGGTATGTTTCCTCTCCCTGAAATACGGGGATGGGCAGGGAGCATCACCACTCTGCCTTCTCCCTCTGGACAGTTCTCAGAGTAACAACATCTGTGAGCCTCAATTCTCCTGCTCCTTCGCTTTCTGTGGTGCTCCGTATATCACAAAGTCTCAGTAAACCCCAAGTCCTCATCACCGCCCACAAGCTGCTGCCTCACCACCAGCCCACCACATCTCTCCCCATGTCCTGCTTGTCTTCCTCCATTCCCTGTGCTCCAGCCACACTGGCCTCCTTTGCACTTGCTCTTCCCTCTGATACAAATGCTCTTCCAGTAGATAGGCATTTGGCTGCCTCTTACTTCTATCAGGTCTCTGCCAACGGTCACCTCCTTGGAGAGGTTTTCCCAAACCACCATTCTCAAACGGCACCTGCTCTTGTCCCTTGCTATCGCTTTACAAACTGCTTTAGTATCCTGTGCAGGACTAATGTTATTCAGGACCACGCAATTCCATGACATCTTTAAAAACCTTTTTTTTTTTAAAAAAAGATTTTATTTATTTGACAGAGAGCGAGCAAGAGAGAGCACAAGCAGGGGGAGCAGCAGAGGGTGAGGGAGAAGCAGGCCCCGCGCCGAGCAGGGAGCCCGATGTGGGACTCAATCCCAGGACCCCGGGATCATGACCTGAGCCAAAGGCAGATGCTTAATAACTGAGCAGCCCAGGAGCCCTCCATTACGTCTTATGTTCTATGTCAGCCCCTCAAAGGCAGGGGCCTGCTGGAAGGGCATAGACCTCACTGCTGCCCCTCCCTTTTCCTTCATTTCTTCTGTCACTAAATGTTGGGCTCCAGTCATATGTCTGGCACCATCTGAGGCTCCGGGGATATGGAGGCAGGCAGACATGCCAACAGAGAAAGGCGTGGAAGGCTTGCCATAATTTTCACATAAATGCTTACCCTGGGGAGGGTTGAGCAGGAAAGGTAGAGTGAAGAGTCTGGGGTCTCAGGTCCAATCCTAGCTGGGCAACCTCCTCCCTCCTCAGTCTCTTCATCTATAAAATGGGGCTAATGATAGTAACCACCTCACGGGATTGGCACGAGAATACTTTGTTAATTCCTGTGGCTGACAGACAACTTTAGTAGCTGTTGGCAACTGATTAAAATAAGAAGAGGGTTCCTTCTGTAACTTAAGAAAAGCCATAAAAAAAGGGGGAAAAAAATCAGTCAAGCCACCAACAATGTTTCAAGCAGCCCAGCCCTTCTCATACACACGAAAAGATTTATGCTCCTCATGGTTCTCCCAGAACATCAGATCCAACCTCTCTTCTAAGACTCAGGTGGGGGGGTGGGCACCTGGGGGGCTCAGTTGTTAAGCATCTGCCTTCGGCTTAGGTCATGATCCCAGCATCCTGGGATCGAGCCCTGCATCGGGCTCCCTGCTCAGCAGGAAGCCTGCTTCTCCCTCTCCCACTTCCCCTGCTGTATTCCTTCTCTCTCTTTGTCTCTCTTCAAATAAATAAATAAAATCTTAAAAAAAAAAAAAGACTCAGGTGGGATCACTAGCTGGGAGAAAGACTCCATTGGCCTTGCTCAACTCTGGAGCCAGTAATGGTGGGAACCGGACCAGCACCCTGCAGCTTTCCATCCTTGGAAGCTCTGAGTAAAGATACAGGTGCTCATGGCGTGGCAGGATTTGGGTGGGGTTTTTTTTTCACCTTTTAAATCAACTTTATTTGCAGTATAATCTCCGTACAATAAAATTCCATCACCCAGAAAATGCTCTTGTGCCCCTCAGCAGTCAACTCCCACCCCAAAGATAACCACTGATTTGTTTTCTGCCGCCACAGATCAATGTTGCTTGACTTTATATTAATGGAATCATACAGCATGGACTCTTTTTAATCCATTTTTTTACAGCTTTAATGAGGTAAAGCTGTAAAATTGATGTACATAAACTGCACCTATTTAAAGTGTACAGTTTGAAGTGGCTTTAACATATTCCCCAGCCCCGGAAACGATCACGAGATAACTTCAAGATAATAAACATATCCATCAGCCCCAAAAGTTTTCCTCATGTACCTGCCTCCCCACCCCAACTACTAATCTGCTTTCTGTCACTGTAAATCGGTTTGCATTTTCAAGCACTGTAAACAGAATCATGTAGTCTGTACTCTTCTGTGCCTGGTTTCTTTCATTCAGCATGATTATTTTAATTCAACCATGTTGTTGTATTCCTCCCCATCCCCCCCACGCCAGCAGCATCTCACCGTATAGGAAGACCCCAGTTTGGTTATCCATGCACTTATTGGTGAACATTAGATTGTTTTACAGTTTGGGATTCTTATGGGAAAAGCCACTATAAGCATTCTTATGAAAGTGTATTTGTGAAGATAAATTTTCATGTATCTTGGGTAAATACCAAGGCATGGAGGTGCTGGGCCATAGGGTAGATGTATATTTAACTTCATAAGAAACTGCCAAACTTTTTTTTTTCCAAAGTGGTTATACCACTTTACACACTCACCAGCCGGCTGAAGTTGAACATCAAGCTTGTTCCTGTCTCACGGCTTCTATACTTCTTCCTGCTTCCTTAATGCCTTACCACTAGTTTTAGCATGGCTGGCTTCAGGTTCCCCCAAATTCATATGTTGAATTTATAAGCCCCAGTACCTTAGAATGGAACATATTTGGAGATAGGTCTTTAAAGAGATGATGAAGGGGCGCGTGGGTGGTTCAGTCCCTTAAGCCTCTGCCTTCGGCTGGGGGTCTTGATTCCAGCGTACTGGGATAGAGCCCTGCGTCAGGCTCCCTGCTCAGGGAGGAGTCTCCTTCTACCTCTCCCTCTGTGTGCTTGCTCGATCTCTCTCTCAAATAAATACATAAATCTTAAAAAAAAACCTAAAGAGATGATTAACACAAGCCCATTAGGGTGGGGCCCTAATGCAATATGACTTGTGTCCTTACAATAAGAGGAAACGATAACCCACACAGAGGAAAGATCTTGTAGGGACACAGTCAGAAGGTAACCACCTTCAGGCCAAGAATAGAGGTCTCAGGGGTGAAACTAAACCTGCCAACACTTTGATCTTGGACTTCTAGCTTCCAGAACTGTGAGAAAATGAATTTCTGTTAAGCCACCCAGTCTGTAATATTTTGTTATGGTGGCCCTAGCAAACCAACACAGAGGACTTCCCATCACCATTTTGCAACCATTATAGTAATAATTGATTCAGGCAAGAATCATCAATGAACGTAAAACCAGTGGGCAGACATTGAGATGAAAAACAGGATAGTCTCAAAATATCTTCCCCCAAGATACTTATTAATTACAAAGGGAAAAACAGCAACTTTTCAGTGGAGTACGTCGGCAGACATCATCTTAATCTATCTTAAATGATCAAATTTAATATCACTAATTTTGGGACAAACCAAGCCTTCTGATGTGATGCACTCAGGACATAAATTTCTTTCAGTGGCATTCTTGCCAAAAATGCATAACCTGAATCTCATCAGGAGAAAATAACAGACAGAGTCAAATTAAGGACATCTACAAAATAACTCACCAGTACTCTTCAAAAACGTCAAGGTCATGAAAGACAAAGGCTGAGGAACTAACTGCTTCTCCAGATTAAAGGAAACTAAAAAGACCAGACAGCTAAATGAAACCTGCGATCCTGAGTTGTATCCTGGGGAATGGCTACATTATTGGGACAATTAGCAAAATTTAAATATTAAAGGTGTATTAAAAGAATCATATCATTGTTAAAATTCCTGATTTTGATCATTACCCTGAGATTCTGCAAGAGAATGTCCACGTTCTTAGGACATAGACACAAGAAGTACATCAGATAAAGGGGCATAATGTCTGGAAACCCACTCCAAAATTATTTAGGGAAAAAAAGTATATGTACATATTATATACACATACACATACATAAGAGAGACTATGATAATGCAAACATAGCAAAATATAACAATTTGTTATTTTGGTTAAAAGTATATCAGAATTCTTGTGTTCACTTCGGCAGCACATACACTAAAAATTGGAACAGAGATTAGCATGGCCCAAAGTATATGAGAATTCCTTACTACTCTTGTAACTTACATGTTAATTTGAAATTTTATCCCCTCAAAATTACAGCCTTTCAATGACCACACTATCAGAAGGGGCCTGCTCCCAAACCCAAAGCACTTTTTCACTCATTCTTTTTCTCCATCATACTTATCCATGTCAAAAATTATTCTATTTGTTCAGTTAATAGTATCTAACATTTACTGTGTGCAAGGCCCTGTCCTAAGTGTTTTAACTGTACAACCACCGTGACTCAACTACTGTTCTTCCCATCTTAGAGATGGGAACTAAAAGACACAAGTTAATTAACTTGCACAAGATCACCCATATCATCTGTCTCCTCCAGGGCATAGACCCTCAACTAAGGTAGATTGTCTTGTTCACTGCTATTTCCTCAGAGACTCAGAACAGTGCCTAGCACATTATAGGAATTCAATAAATACCCAGATTCCGTTTAAAAACAACGGGTACGTACTAGGCATTGGAGTACAAAACAGTGAACAAAATAGCACTTTCAGCCTTGCACCCAATTAGCCACTTATTATATATATTCATATATACTTAGCCACTCTTAGTATATGTATTTATATATTTTTTATATTTATATACAAAATGTTTTATATATATATATATGAAATATATATATGAAATATATATATATATTTCATTTGGCGCTATCAACACTGGGAGGTTAAGGTCCAATCACCCCTTTTGCAGAACAGAAAACTGAGGCACGGAACCGGACAATGATTTGCCCAGAATCAAAGGGGCTATTGGGAGGCAGGGTGTGGATTCCAGCCCAGTCCGGAAGGCTCCCAGGCACTGCCTATGAATCAATCAAACCGGCCAATCCAATCAACCAATCAGTATTTATTAGGCGCCTACTACGCGCAGCCCCTCTTCACACAGCGAAGGCGAGGAGGCAGGAGGCCGTGGTGGGCAGGCAGGCACGGAGAGCCGGGGCACGCAGCGGATCGCGGGGACTTGGCGCCTATTTTTTGTTGGCTGGGTGTTCTCGCCTGTGATTGGGCCCCGCGCGGCGTGCCCCGTGCGCCCGGCTGCGGCTGCTCTGTCGACCTTGGCAAGACCCAGGCGCCGCCGTACGCGACCGGCCTCCCGGGGGATGGGCCACCAGGAGCCCCCGCTGGCCCGAGTGCGGGCGGGAGGTGCGGCTTATATAAACAGGTTATGTAAAGGGCTCAGCTGGCGCGAACACGTGGAGAGCCGCGGGAGCCCGGACGCCCGGTTCTCCCCCGCGGGCGCCGCCGCCACCACCCGTGCCGCAGCACGCTCCGAAGCTCACTCGGCCGCGGCCGCCGCCTCTCGCGCCGCTCCGTACCGGAGGCAGCCCTGTCCCGGAGCGGACCATCCCCAGCCCGGGGCGCCAGGGGGGAAACGGGCCGCCCGGAAGTGGAGGGACGCCAGCCAGGTAAGGGCGCAGTCTGCGGAGTCAAAGAGCGCCGAGGCTGGAGCCACCGCCGTCCCCTCGGGCGCTTGAGGAGGGCAGTCGGGCCCCCAGTTTGGCGGGCTCAGGGACGCGGAACTTTTAAGCCAACCGCCTCCACCCGCCGCCCTCGGGCACTTGGGTTGGTCCGCCGAGCGCCGCTCAGGCTTAATTCAATGGACTGTTTACACCCGGGAGAACCCAAGGCGGGATGCGGGGAAGGGGACCCCAGGGGGGACCAGGCAGGGAACAAGAGGTCCACAGTCAGAGTTGCCTCTTAAGGCAATTTTCTTAAGTCGTAAAGACTGCTGGTCGTTGTTTTTCCTATTCTTGGGCGATAAATTAACTGGGAAGCTGGGGGGTGTTTTGCTTTTCTTTCCGGTTCCCCCTCTGAGCCACAGCCTAGTGGTTTCGTCCTTCCCGCTTTTTCCCCCCCCTCCCCTCCCCCGTTCAGTCAGCGGCGGCGGCTTCCGTCTTAAAGGGGCCGCAGCCGCCGGCGGAGGTGGCGGTGGGGCGCCTTGCGGCCTGCGCTCCTTTCCTCCCCGCTTCGGCCTAGTTGGTTAAACCGATTCTTTCGCCCGCAGGTCACAATCCAGGGTCCCGCTCCTCCGCGTCCCGGGGCCGGACGGAGGGATGAGGCAGGGGGGACCCAGGCAGCGCCGTTGCTGCTCCCCCCGCCGCCCGCAGCCATGGAAACGGGGGAGGAGGACGGCACCCGCAGAGGTACACAAAGCCCCGAGCGGAAAAGGCGAAGCCCAGTGCCGCGGGCGCCCAGCGCGAAGCTGAGGCCGGCGGCGGCCCAGGCCATGGATCCGGTGGCGGCCGAGGCCCCGGGCGAGGCCTACCTGGCGCGGCGGCGGCCAGAGGGCGGCGGCGGGTCGGCACGGCCGCGGTACAGCCTGTTGGCGGAGATCGGGCGCGGCAGTTACGGCGTGGTTTACGAGGCAGTGGCCGGGCGCAGCGGGGCCCGGGTGGCGGTCAAGAAGATCCGCTGCGACGCCCCCGAGAACGTGGAGCTGGCGCTGGCCGAATTCTGGGCCCTGACCAGCCTCAAGCGGCGCCACCAGAACGTCGTGCAGTTTGAGGAGTGCGTCCTGCAGCGCAACGGGCTAGCCCAGCGCATGAGCCACGGCAACAAGAGCTCACAGCTTTACCTGCGCCTGGTGGAGACCTCGCTCAAAGGTAGGAGCGCCGCCGGCCGTCCCGCCCACACGGGGCCTGGACCCGCTGCTCTGGATGGCTCGGCCCCAGCGGACCCCCAGGCCCGTAGGCCCTGGTCCTGGTCCTGTCAGCCTGGGCCCAGACACGCCCTCCTAACCGGGGCCCAGACTGATAGGCCCTCCTCTCATCTCAGGACCCCGGATCAGTCCCTGGCACAGACGGGAGCTGGTATTTTCATAAAAAGGGGCTCATTAAGTGCTCACCATTATTTTAGTTAAGTGCTCAGTAAAGGTGAACTGTTATTATCAAACTTCTAGCACTTTGAGTTTCCACGGGGGGAGTGAGGGGGATTGGGCTGAGTTGGTGGAAGAACTTCAAAGCCCCCTCTCTAGGGCCTCTTCTCTTTCCCTCCTAAAGCAAACAAAAAGAACTTTACTGGACCCACCCACACCCCCTCCCTGTCTGGTTCCAAATGTCCTGACACCCTTCAGCTCCACCCCCAAACTCTTGCTTCCTAGTCTTCCGTTTTCCTCTGAGACCCCCAACCCCAAAGCAGTCAAGCAAACTGGCAGGCTTCCTGGCTAAGTCCTCTGGGGCCTGCTGAATAATACCCCCCCCCCCCCCCCCCCCGCCGTGGGCCTAGAGCTGTCACATAACATGTAACATCTTTTTTCTTCCTTTCCTTCGTTTTACATACTTAATCTTTTTCTAAACCCCCTGAGGCTGGCTGGCTGGCTTGGGTGTTTATAGGGAAGATGGGCCTCAGGGAAGCAAAGGGGCTTTTGCAGTCATGGGCGGGCTTATCCTAATTTCTGGGTTTTAGCTGCAATTAGGGAGTGAGTTCATCTTGAGTGCCCTGTAGTCGCATGTCTTGTTCAGACTTAAAAGTAGCCAAGGATCTCTAAAGAGAGGAGAGGGCCAGGGGGCTAGAAAGGTCTTAGGAGACTTCCTCAGGGGAGAGGTTACTAATCTGAGTCCCAGCTATGTCCTAGATGTCTTACAGAGTGACTTTAGGTAATAACTTTAAAAGTAAATCCTCTCCTCTATAAATGGAGAAACTAAGGATTAGAGGTAAGCAAATATAAGTTGATGAGGTTAATCAGCTTGTAAGGGAAGTTGGGCTTCCTTACAGTTCTTCAGAGCTTAAGTGACATAAACCCAGACCTGTTGATTCAAGGCCTAGATCCTTTCAAAGGGTAATGATGCCCTCACTTCCCCAATAAACTGGAACTGACCTTTAAGAATGGGTAGGATTTGGGGTGGGGTTAGACAGGGCATTTTGTTTGGAGTTTTTGCCCAATTTTAAACTCCTGCAACCCATCCCAGGAGAACTCCGTCCCATTTCAAGTCAGTTGTTTTGACAGTGGATTGAGGGATATGATCAACATCACCTGGGGTCCTTTTTCAGCCCTGCCTCATCCTTTCGGAAAAGCCTACCCTCTCTCCCCAGGGTGAATAGATTTGTTTTGAAAAGACTTTCCACGAGAGTCTTTGAAGCTTACCTGTGTCCTAAAAGCTCTTCACTCGCATTCTCAGACTGTCTTCTCCACTGTGATTAACGAATAGTCTGGACTTCATAATACATGACTGCCTTGGGATGTGGGAATTCACTTTGCCAATGATCCCCTTCTACCCTCAGTTCATTGAGGCCAGTCTTGAAACTTCCACCCAGGTGTGAAGTCTTGGCTTCCCCCTCCTTACATATTGTTCAGATTCTCATGTGTGTAGAATTTGTCAGAACTCCACAGTAAACAGTGGCAGGATAGCCTCGTGGTTAATACCATAGGCTTTGCGGTTAGGCTCACTTTAAGTCATGGCTCGTCTGAACTGACTACATGAGGCATGGGACAAGTTGTTTAAAACCTGTGGGGAGCATTCCTTTATCCATAAGATAAGGGTGCCTGTGTCCTCGAGCTGCTGTGCAGCCTGGGAATGCCCCTAAGTGCTCCGATAAGGAGGAACTCAGCAAGTTCAGTCCACATTTGGAGTCCTCTTTCATCATCCCTTTTGAGAATTCACTGTGTTCTTGTTCAAGTTTGACGGTGGAGCACATCCTATTGTCTGGGTTGTCAGTAACACCAGGTTGAGAGAAACACTGGTATTTTCTGCCTCTCTTTGTGAATTAAAACAGGTCTAGAGAAATGAAATAATTTTGCTATAGGCCATACACTTCAATCGACCCTTTCAGTTGTTGGGAGTCTTCAAAATACTTGAGCCTCTACTAGGGTCAGGTAATGTTCAGGGCTCAGAGAGGGAGCAATAAAGGAAATGGTGCAGAGCCTAGCTGATGAAACTGACATTGAAATTTACATGTCAGATGTTGATTTAGCAAGCAGTAAATAGGCATTGTTTTCTGCTATTATTAAAGTTAAGAACAAAAAGACCCACATTGCTCTTAGGTTAAGTTTTCCTGCCTTCAGCTTCCAGAATTGAGCAGTCTTAAACAGTCCTGGGGCACTGGATTTACAGCATGCTGCTATCACTCAGAAATGTTAGAACTGGAAGGAATCTTAGAGATAATCTGGTTCAACCCTGTCATTAAACTCCTGTGCAGTCACCTTTTGCCCCGTCTTCTGCAATTTAGAATCATTTTGGAATAGGCCAAAAAAGTGTTAATCTGCCTTGAAGTCTCTTTTGAACTAAATTTACGTAGTTACTGAGTCCTCATAGTAGCATTTGGGGCGGGGCGGGGAGGGGGGTGGCCCGCGGGCTGCAGCCTTTCCCCCAAAGGAACTTAATTTGTAAAGTTTGAGGACCTGTGGAAGACTTAAGTGCTCATCAGAGTTATGGGAGGAAAGGCAAGTTGTCTGGTTAACAAGGACTTTCTACAGAGTATTGCACAGGATTAACAAGAATGATAATCTATAGAGTTAGCTAGGAATTGGCAGAGAAGATAGGCTTGTAAGAAGGGTGCCTAGGACCATGTAGATAGGTAGAGAAGAAGTGGGATTTATTTTACAATGGGCCAAATAGGGAATAGTTGGGTTTTTTCCCTCTTTGGTATCAGCGCTTTATTGAATATGCAGAAGGCATCTCTATAGTCTTAAGAAATTATTTGACCTGTACATCCAATCTCAAAAAGAAAAGAGAAACTTCTTAATGCAGTTCTTAGTCTTATCCAACTCTGATAGGCTTCTAGGTCTCCTGTCCTTCCCTGAACATAGGCCACGCACATAGAGCATTATGTAGTAAACAGAAGTTCGAGTCAGCAGTGGTCTTAGAAGCCTGATCTGGTCTTCTGTTTCACAGGCAAGGAAACAACCCTGGGAAAGAGACAGGACTTGCCTCATAGGGGTTAGTGGTAACACTCAAACCAGGCTCCCAGACTTTTTTTAAACCAGATTAACAATCCTGTAAATTATTTGGTGGATGCGATGATGTCTTTGTTTAGCTTTTAAGTACTTGTCACAAAAAAACAGGAGTTAAAACATCAACAGTTGGCTTTTATCCCCTTGCTTCCATTGCCAAAGGACCCTGTCCTGAATGCACCTAAAACTAAATTCAAGATTGCTGCCACTTAGAAGACAGCAGGCAAGCCTGAACTCATTGTCAAACTAAACTCAAATTCCTGCGTGCTCTCTAACCCACACACTGATCCTTCTGACAAACAGCGATGAATAAGGAGTTTATATATATGATATATCATCTCCAGGAGAAACCCAAGGCTCATAAGACCAAATAAGAAGTTTGGAAAAGCTGGGGGTCTAGCTTATCCCATCTTGGTAAGACCCTAACTAGTTCTGCTTTACTGACTATTTCATGTTTACTGTGCTCAAGAGATCTTTAGGCGGCTTCACATGGGTGGGAATCTAGGCCCTTGGTAAGTCTGGTCTGTGCATTTGTGCCCAGTGATGACTGTGAGCCAGGCACTGCGGGAGAGGCTATGGCAAAGTTTCCTCCATGAGGCATGGAGAGGACACAGGCCCAGATGACCACAGTTCAAGGTCCCGAGAGGTGGGTAGCCTAGAAAGTGAGGCAGGAGTTAGTGTGGGGAGGGAAACTGGGGTCTTAGCAGTGGACTGGCTATCAGCCTGCACACACACACACACCCACCCCAGTCTGTAGGAAAACCTGACGCTCAGAGCTGGCCCACCCCTGCCTAGACCCCTAGAAAGCAACTCTGAATTCTCTACTATGCCTTGGGCCTCAGAAAAGCGGAGAGCTGGGGGGTGATGATCCGCTACTTGGACATGATCAAAGGGGTCATTAATGGCCTTGGAAATTAACGGGACACAACAAACAGAGCGCTAGCATTGACTGGGAGTCCGAAGGTTTGGGTTCCACTGTCACCATTAGTAAGAGCTGCAGCTTACTGATTGCTATGGGCCAGGTGCCGGTCTAGACTTTATACCCATTAACCGATTCAATCCTCGCAACCCACTTTTGAAGTCAGTGCTATAATTACCCCTATTTTACAGGTGAGGGCACCCAGGTTAGTGAAACTGCCCCATGTAGGATAGCTAAGCAGATAGCCAAGCTGAGGTCCAAACACAGGCATTTCGGGCTTCAGTCCGCACTTCCTAACTGCTGTGCTACACTCTTGGGACAGGTGGCTTAAATTCTGGGTTCTTCTGTTTTTCTTGGTTGTTAAATGGGCATAATCACATTTTACTGAGAAACTAATGGCCACTGTTTATTTTGTAATTAGGTGCTAATCAGTAGTTGGCACTGCCAGTCTCTACAGGTGCCTCCCCTGTGTCTCGGCTGCCAGGGACCCTGTTCCTCCTTTCTGGTCTGCCCTTCGGTGTCTTGAGACAACCGTGCAGACTTCTTATTGCTGCCTGCCTGCCTTCTGTGTGCACTGGGGATTTGAGGTATCAGCCTCAGGAGACAGGAACAACCCTTGGCTTAAATGAGAGTTTTGGCTAATTGGGTTGCACAGGATAGGCTTTTTATAGTGTAAATTTCCAAGAATTGCTTAGCTTCCTATAAAACATCAGTTCACTCTCAACTCCGATTTGGCCTTTGGGTGGGGTCCTTCGTGACCCCAAAATTTTGGATCCTTACCTCGTTGTCTTTTA